CGCCCCGCGCGCGCCCCTGGCTCACCCCGTCTGCTCGGCCGCCGTTCGCCGCCCGGCCGCCCCTCGGAGGAGCCGCGGCGCTAAGTAGCTCCTCGCCCAGCGGCTGGAAACGCGGCATAAATATGTAGAGACTGAGCCGTGAGCTCACCGAGGGTCGCGAGGGGGAATTTATTTCTTAATGTCCCCCCTTTATCCTATCATCGCTGAAACGAATTAGCGGTGACGTCCAACCCGGCTGGTTTATGGGTGTGGGGAGGGAGACGTCGCAACCCTCATTAAAAGAGCCGCTCTGGGCTCCAAAGCATACATCTTTTATATAACCTAATTTCCATTTTTTTTTCCTATCAGGAAACACACACACACACACACAATGACAATTTCTAGGAGCCCGGAGGGGCTGAATGTAGTAGCCGCGCAGGGAAGGACAGCTGTCTTTGGGCAGAGAGGGCCCCACGGTAGGCGAGGATGGGCGTCTGTATCTCTACATCAGTGTTGGGCTAACATTCCTTAATGGGACGGTGGAACGCACAGACCCCCGCGCTGGGCAGTTCTGGAAGCCCTCCAGGAGCCTGCAGGAGGCTGCAGTCTGGGTTCTGGCCCTGGCTCTAGGGCGGGCAGACAGAGAGCAAGGCAGGTTGTTCTGGAAATGTTGCCTGATTCTAGTCCTTTCTGGAGCAGCACTTAGGCCTGGCATCTAGGGAGGGCGAAGGATGGAGGGGACATTTTCACCCGTGGCCTGGGAGGCCCACAGGTGTGGAAAGGCCATGGGCTGGGCTGGGGGAGGGGAAGTTGTAGAGAACCAAGCTTCCCTTCCTTTCTTAGGGGCCCTAACATATGGGTAACCATATAAACCCATCTCAAAAGCTGTCTTTTCCTGGGCAGATTGCAAAGGATTTTGCATTTCACTGTTGCTGCTGCTCACACACTCTTGGGGAAGCAGGGGGAGAAATCAAGGAAAGAGAGGAGGATTCAGACACACGCATACACACAGCACCTGGCACTGGGTGGCTTGATCTTTCCTCCTCCCCAGCCTTGCCGAGGGGAGCAAGCCCACTCAGGCTCCGAGTTGTGGGGAGGAGAGGCAGAGAGGAAAACCACCACTCCGTTTGTCACTAATAAATGCTTTTCAGATCGTCTTGCACGTCAAGCAGGGGAGAAGGGGGTGTGACTTTGGGGGCAGGAAGAGGGGTGTGGGGGATGAGGAAGGGAGGAAGGAGGAAAGAATAAGCTGGAGGAAGACATGAGAAATTCCGTCAGCCCCGGGCTCTGCCACTTCCTAGTGCGCTACGAGGAGCAAGTTCCAGAGCCTGTTTGTGGAATGGACCTGGGGTCGTCGTAAGGATAGACACAATGCGATGGTGCTGTGAAGCCATTGGCCTGGTGCCTGGCATGTAGTAAATGCTCAGGAAACAGTAGCCAGCAATGGTGGTGATGATGCAAATAATAACACTGACATAAAGGCTGCATGCGGCGTCCCAGGAAAGTGAGGCTAGGGCTGAGTCTTTGCGACCAGTCCCCTCCTGTCCTGGGCCCAGGGTCCCCTGCTTGAATCATATCAAAGTTGAGCGCTGGGTTTCAGTGGTGTCAGTTTCAGAACACTGCTCCCTCAATTACCATGGCAACTGGGGAGAATCAGGAAGCCAGAGGAAGGGAAGCTGCTCTTTCCACTGGGCTGGCAGCTCACCTGCTCACAGCATGCCTGCCCGTGTGAGGGTCGGGGCCCAGACAGACTGAAAGGAGAGGCGCGTCCTCTCCTGCAGCACCAGCTGTTTTGAAATTGGGGAGAAGGGTGGTTGGTAGGAAATGCACAGCCATGAGAGGTCAGGGCCAAGGCTGGGTTGTGCTGGCAGAAGGCAGAGTGGGCCTGGGTTTGTAGAGAGGGGGACAGAAGCCCTACTCCCCCCAATTCTGTTCTCACCACCGGGTGTCCTGGTGCAGTTGAGAGCAAAGCATGGAAATGTAGCTCTTGAGGCAGATCTGGGGAGACAGAGCCTCCGAGCCCAGAGGAGGGACCAGTCACCACGGGGTCGTGTGTGTGTGTGTGTGTGTGTGTGTGTGTGTGTGTGTATGAGAGAGACAAAGAGACTGGGCAGAGAGAGTGAGGCAGAGAGAGACAGAGACAGAGAGACCAATAGAAAGAGAGGAAAAGAGAGACAGAGACAGATTGGCAGGGTGAGAGAAAGATTGACAGAGACAGAGAGAGAGAGAAACACTGAGACAGAATTAGAGATAGAAAGACAGAGACAGAAAGAGACAGAGGCATAGAGAGAGACAGAGACAGAGAGACCAATAGAAAGAGAGGAAAAGAGAGACAGAGACAGAGAGATTGGCAGGGTGAGAGAAAGATTGACAGAGACAGAGAGAGAGAGAAACACTGAGACAGAATTAGAGATAGAAAGACAGAGACAGAAAGAGACAGAGGCATAGAGAGAGACAGAGAGATTGGCAGAGAGAGAGAGAGAGAGACAAAGACAGAGAGTGGCAGAGACTTCCCTTACTCTGGTGTTTCTGTAGGATTAAGGGGGACTAGTAACTGGTACTACCAGCTGTAGCAGTAGCAAGGATAGGTGGCTATCTTGTATTGAGCCAAGCATTTTAGAGGTATATCTCATTGGATCATCATAGAAATGGTGAGAGATGACTCCTTTTCTTATTTCTGTTTTACAGAGGGGGAAACAGAGGCTCTGGAGGCAAAGTGACTTGCTCGAGGTCACCCAATTAATCTGCGGTAAAGCAGGTATTAGAATTCAGGTCCTGTGGACTCCAAAGCAGAGATTGCCTCCCCACTGCTGCTCTGTGGACAGAGGGGGAGAATGAGCGGGTCAGAGCCATCCAGGGAGTGTCTGGAGTTTTGGGGGTGGCTCCTGGTGTCTGGGGACCCCACCACACTAGTGCTCGGCAGTGTTTCCAGAGGTCCCCAACAATTGGAGGTAAAAGACCAGAGATTTTACCATTAGCCAGGTGGCCCCGGGATGATGACAGAGACAATCCCCAAATGCTCCTTGAGTGTGGTGCCTTTGAGACTGCTCTGGGCATTCACACTAACCTGATCCCACCAGGACACCCTTGGTGTTCAGGGGGAGATGATGATAATGCCACCCTTCTTCTGGATGGGATTAAACCAACTGAGGCACGTCCACCACCAAGCAGACATTCCATAAATGGTCGCCGCAAAAACAATTATTCCTGGATCTTTTCACAGCCCTCATCCCCCAATCCCTGTGGGTGGGTAGAGGGGTTGTCCCCATCTGTCCCCCCTGATCCCACCATCCTGGACTCCCACCAGTCCCCACCCCTCAGTTTGGAGGTGGGCCCCAGGGGAGCAGAGCACTCTGGCGGAGCTGAGGGAGGAGACGGAAGAGAGAAGTTGCGCCTTGCCGATGTGGCTGCCACTGAGGGGGTAATACATTATCCAGGGCTAATGAAAACATAATTATCTTCTTTTGGCTGCAGAGAGGGGCTAATTTAATAGGCTGCGATCGAAAGGCATCTGCTGAATTCACCCAGCAGTGAAAACACTTGAAGGGCTCGTGCGGGGGGAGTGGACAGAGTGCAGCTGTCCCCAGGACTGCAGCTGCATCCAGGTGGGAGCTCCTTCGGGGATGGGAGGAGCATGGGGGGACAGGCAGAAGCAGCAGAGAGGGTATGGCAGCTGGTGTGGGTGTCCTGTGAACACACACACCTGGGCTTCTTTCTTGCCATGAGTTCTTGGACTGGTCCTTTGCCTCTCTGAGCCTCAGCTTCCTTATCTGTAAAATGGGGGTTAATCCTGCTTTGTTCACGTTGACTGGGAGGAATCAATGAGTGGTGTGAGAGGGGTCCTGGTACATTCTAAATAATGTTTAACAAAGCTTTCATCCCTCTTCTGCTTGCTGGGCCAGCTCTACTCAGCCTTCAGGTATTAGTGTAAACTTCCCCCCTTTGGAAAAGCCCCTGCTCTGAGCTCCCACAGCTTTTGTAGAATGTGCATGTGAGCATGAGTGCGCGCGCACGCGCACACACACACACACACACACACACACGTGGGAATATCTGTGTCCTATTCATTGCTAGACTGGGAAGAGCTCCATAAGGTCTGGGTGGTCTGTCTCATTTGTCACTCTAAGCCAGTGATTCTCAAAGCACGTTCCCTGGACAACTAGGTCAGCATCACTAGAGCTCATTAGAAATGCCAGTTCCTGGGTCCTGCCCCAGAACTACTGAATTAGACATTCAGGGCAGAGCCCAGCAATGTGTGTTTTAAACAAGCCCTGCACGTGGTCCTGATGCATACTCAAGTTTGAGAAGCTCTACTGCAACCCAAAACTGAACAAATGTTTGTTTGAATAAATGCATGAAGAGCTTAGCATTAAGCAAGGGTCCAGCTATATAATGACAAGAACTCTCCCTTATTTGGCACCAACTGTATACTCAGCCCTATGTATTATGTCTTTGGATCCTCTAACCCACCCCTTTATCCATCACTTGCCATTTCCCACACTACTTCATCCCCAAGTACAGCCCCTTGGTCTGCCTCCTTGACCTGAATTACAGGCCCATTGTAAGTGTTGAAAGACCCAATAGATCTTTCCATTACACATAGATCCCCTCCCTTTTTTAAGCAGCGCCTACCCCACCCAGGGCATCTGATTCTGGAAAAGAATTTAGTTTTTGACCCTGTCTCTGGGTATTTGGCTGGGGAAGTCATTCTGATGTGTGTATTATGAAGTATAATGCTGGTTAGTTTTGCAGAGTTAGAGCAAGAAAGGGCCCTTGGAGATGGCTGTCTCCAACCCCGGCATTTTACACAGGGGAGGCCAAGGTCAGGAAGGTTCTGCAATTTGTCAGAGGCAGATCGGTTTCCTGTCCTGACTCCTCCATCAGGATGCTGGTTCTGGGGCCCTTAAGAGGGGAGGGGTTGTCACCAAAGTGGCCCTGGGGTTAGGGGGCTGGCAGGGTAGACAGGACCCAGGATCAGGTAACAGAGTCCTCTGAGAGCCTAGAACCCTCCCGGGAAGGGTGGAGGTGTCACAGTTCCTGGGGATGTCAAACACCCTGCAGGCATTTGCAGGACTCTGGCAGAGAGGCATGAGGGAGGAGCCCTTTAAGGCTTAAAGAGGCAGACTGGGCATAAGAAAGAACACTAGATTTGGCGCCGGAACACTTGGCTTCCAGACCCAGCTTCTGCTACTAATGTGCTGTGTGAGCTTGGGCAAACCCCTTGGCATCCCTAGGTCTCAAAAGGGGATCTTAACCTGAGGATGGCTAAGCCCCTGGAATCATATGCAAAATCAAGAGCAAATGTGTTTTTC